GCCCGCCATGGAGGTGGAGGAGGCGTTCCAGGCGGTGGGGGAGATGGGCATCTACCAGATGTACTTGTGCTTCCTGCTGGCCGTGCTGCTGCAGGTGAGTACCCCCCTGCCCCGCCTGCGCCCCGCCCCCCCTCCTCCTGGCCCCGGGGCCCCCAGATGCCCGGGATCTGCGAACACCTGAGGTGTGGCGGGCCGCCCGCGCGAGTGCGCGGCTGGGCGAGGCGCCACGCCGTGGCCTGGGCCCAAGAACGCCAAGGTCGCCAACAAGGCCTGTCAAGCTTTGTGCCCGCCCAAGCCTCTGATCCTCTCTCCCCTTAGGCCTGTTGGCCAGGTCCGCCTACCCCCTCGCCTCGAGTGGGGAAGGAGTGTGTGTGGGGAGGTACTTCAGCCCATGACCTGGTTAATTAGGGATGCAAAACTATGTTACCTGTAATATGCTGCCAATACGAAAGGGAGTTGCTATCCTAACCTGTGACACTGTCACCTTGGCGTCTGAAACACAGAGAGAGTCCTGATAACCCGCAGACAAAAGGTCCCATCTAGAGCGGCCTCCTTCAGCCCTGGATATCTACTTACCATCTTTTCCTGGATTTTAGGGGACTTCATATTCCAGGGGCTTTCAATGCATGGGATTGATTTCTCTCTGATTTGAGTTCTGCTGGGTCATTCTGCCTTGGGGCCATTCTCTGGTTGAGATTTTTATAAGCCGAATAGTGCCATATACAATGTCTAGTTAAAGAATGGAATCACTTCGTCGTACAGAATTCTTGGAGCCTACTTGCACACCGCAATCTAAAAACAGAGGTTCCATATGCTGAAGGAGACTACAAATACACTTTCCCAGGCAAGAGTTACTCCTCCTTCACCAGGTTAAATGGCCCATTTGACATCAGTTACTTCTGCCAATATTCTAAAGGCATTTCATTCACAAATCCTTTCTTAGTACCTACTATGAGCAAGCCATTTTAATCATTCCTTCATTCAACTCATATTTAATGAGTACCTACTATGTGCTGAGCAGGGCCTACAGTGGTGGACAAATCAAAGCCCCTTTCCCGTGAAGCTTGCTTTCTAGTGGGGGTGGGGTGAGACAGGCAGGCAGATAAATAATTACAATTAACATGTGATGATAGTTATTCTGAGAGAAGTACAGGGTGGGCATGGGTATAACCACCAGTTGCTTAAACCTTGCATAAGGCAACCCACTCGGCAGGAAGATGGGGGTGGAGGAAGGTAAGGGTTGACTTAGTGATTCGCCTTTCCATTAAAATGTTTGCAAGTTCCGTTGATTTCATCAGAGGATTTCACCGCCAGAAGACCTATTCAAATGAAGAACTGATGTATGGAGTCAGTTCTTTCTTTAGCAGGGCAAGTTCTCAGTTCACAAATATACAGTATTCTGAAGTTCTTTTAAGCTTGTTGTTTTAGCTTTAAATGTACTTTCTCTACGGGGAAAAAGTGTTCATGCTAAATCACTAAAGAATATTTAATAGAGAGAGAATATAATTGTAACCATGATGACTGATGTTCATTTATAACACTGTTTCTTTGAGAAAATTTTTTTCCTGTTCTAACCAAGAATTCCAGGAACAAAACTCCATCTCTGAGCAATCCCACCTCCCCATCCCCACACTCCACCTCCTGTGTTATTATCTTCTTACCTGCCTAGCCAGATATCCACTGACCTGGAATAAGTTTGTCTTGAGTGGAGTGTGGCACTAAAAAGGCGCCTGTTCTTGGTTCAGGACCTGTTGAGTTTCCCTCACTTACTTTTGTTTATGGTTGACCCAGTTGGTTAGAGTTTGGTACCAAAGAGGTCTAAGCCCATGACCATGACTGTTCACTGAACCCTGCCTGACATGTGGCCAGTGTTTCCCATAGAAGGACCAGGTCTTAGGGTGTTGGGAATGAGTGACCACATCTTGTAGGTGTGGGCTGGGGAGGTGCCCTAGAGCTGTGCCTATAGCAACAGAGGAAATGCCCCAGTTCCGGCAGAAGTGAATTCTTCACAACTGCTCCCTGTTTTTGAGGACTCAACCGCCCCAGTGAGATACATGATCCACGTGATCCTACGGTTGCCCAAAGCTATCCTGGATATGAGAGTGGCATCCCTCAAAGACCTCTCTACCAAATCTATTGCTGGAGATGGTTTGGGCTAGGGGAGCTGGCCTTCGGAGTGGGGATACTGGGGAGTCTCATTACACAGCTGTAACATGATGCTTTCATCATTCTTATGGGGTTGCTTCCCCCAACAGGAAAAAGTAAGAAGCCCTTTTCAGAGCTGGCTTAAATGGAAGGTGGTTGACGTTTGCTTTGAAAACCAAAGCACTTGTCTACCATTGCTCAAGGAAGTTACACACCAACTGCATAGCAGCACGGCCAGAGAGAGGGAGCCTCTGCTTTGGCAGGAGGCTTTTCTGCATCTGTGGTTTGGTAGTGACCAACCCCAGCTGAGAAACACAAACCTAGAGGGATGGAGATGGAAGCTTTACAGATCCTTTTGCATTTCCTTCCTTCTGGGATCATTATTATTATTATATTTAATGGTTTTAACTCCTGTTACTTCAAACACGTCAAGTTCAAACTAAGAGCATACAACCACATTCCAAAGCCAACTCTGAAGATCTTTAGGTTAACTGTTTTCCTGGATTCTTGATACCATCACGTAGATCCTCAGAAGCTACCTCAATATCCAATTTCCTTTGGCTAGGAGATTTCCCTTCACACTTATTGCAAATACAGTCTTTGGAATTCCCATAGTGGTTAACTTTCAGATATATAAAGAATTGATGCAGATTTTGTAGATTTCTCTTCAGCGTGATAAGATGCAAATGCCCTGATAGTAGTGATATGTGGTTTTAAAGCACATAAGAAAAAAGCTAAAGGAAAAAAAATTGTCTTGTGTAAAAATAGTTGTCTTATGAATAAACAATAATTTCATAGTTAGAAAAATTCTTACTCTCAAAATATATGTGCCCTCGGGTAAGAGCTATTTGTGGTATTTAAATATGAAAAATTCTATTTACTTTATTCCTGTTTCTATTTTCTGATAGTGATTCAGAGTTGACATCATCATCACTTTTTTGTGTTAGTGTATGTGTTTGCTTATTTGCCAGGCTGTCTGGAGGAGAAAGGTGGGAACACCAGTCTTTGTTTCTTGATCCCTTTAGACACAAAGTGAAAATGGGCCCTGCTTCTTTGTTCTAAGCCAGGAGCTCCAGCTCCTTCATCTTCCTTGGGATCATGAATCATAGCTTGTATTATAATTTGCACAGGATTTAAAACGTCCATTAATAGGCAAGGACATGGTAACCTGTAGTAAACGTTAGTTTCACTAGGAAAATTGTGATGCTGCTGTGAACCTCAGCTTGAGGTGCAGTACTCTGGTGTTCTGGAATACATTATTTTTACATAAACTCTTAATCACCCTAACTTTGTTTTTCAGATCCTAGAACTACCAGTGCATTCATATCATCCACTCAATAAATATCTTTTCACGGTGTTTTAGAAAGTGGCATGATTGGACAGGTATTTTGCAGAAGAGGAAACTCTAATAGTCAATACATAAAAAGATGTTTACCTTCAGTGGTCATCTGGGACAGGCATATTAAAATGACTATGAAATATCATTTCACACTTATTAGATTAGCAAACATTAAACAGTCTAATAGTACAAGTGTGATGAAAATGAGAAGTAGGAACTATTTCTATTAGAGAACAATTTGGCACCATCTAGTAAAATTAAAAACCAGCATTGGACTCCTAGGCATATGTCCCACAGTATCTCTTGAACATGTGCCTAAGGAGATATGTATAGGTTGTTTATTGCAGCACTGTTTGTAATAACAAAAACTAGTAATCACCTAAATGACTCTCGAAAAGGGACTGGATAATTAAAATATGTTATAAATTTGGTAGAATATAACAGTGAAAATGAATGAACTAGATCTATACACAGCTACATGGATGAATCTCTAAAACACAATGTTAAATGAAAAAAATGAGCAGCGTGATATATACAATGTGACACATACTTTTATTACAAATTTTAAAAACATACAAAACAATACTATATTTGGTTTAGGAATATGTACGAACAATGTGGAAGAATAAACACATGGAATAGATCCACACCCAGTTCATGAGATTGATTGCCTCTTCGAAGGAAGGGAGGGCATGGGTCTGGGGAGGGGCACAAAGGAGATTTCTTCTGTGTCTGTAATATAGTATTTTAAAAATCTGAAGCAAATACGATAAAATGTTATTTACTAATTGTGGTGGTTGGTTCATGGATATTATTTTATTCATTTTGCTTTTCTGTGTTAAATTTTAAAAAAAATGGTAAAGAAAAGAAGATCTGCATATCTGGGAGAGAATGCTATAGTTCACTGTATGAGAATAATAGTTCACTCTTTTATTGATTTTCCTTAAACCTATTATGGCTGTGAATTGTGGTTACTTAACACTTAAGGAGGATGAGGTAGAGTGAGTTTTGTTCAGGATGCTTTATTAAACTTTGTGTAGAACACTGTCACAATTAACCTCTCCCCTCTACTTGCATTTGTCACTGTGTCCCACACTCCTCAGGAGATTCATAGGAAGGCTGATGAAGGCTTAGATGATCTGTCACTGAGGTGGATAGCTGGCTCTCCTAACCTCTCAACTATAAGCAAGTGATGAAGTTCATACCATAAACATCAGTGAAGACCTTATTGTATTACAGTCATTAAGACCAGCCCTCATGCCCCAGGGGATTCTCACCACCACCAGGGGTTCAGCCATGATGAGAACCTATGGCATTAGGGAGAGCTTCTCTGTCATGACTCCAAAACACGTGACCATCTACCAGGGTTCTCTGCTAGTCTGAGCAAGTTTTATGCTGCCCCAACTCTCAATTTTAGTTCTGTTTGACCTCAGACAATGGCCTGGAGCTTGGGTCTTCTGAGAGGTTTATGATAATCTGGGGAACCTTTGCCTGGTATTCCTTCCATCACTTTAGAGTGGGGCACCACAGGTCAAAGAGATCTTAGCTACGCTTGCCCCCAATACGCCCTCAAGAAATCTGTTGTTGTCTATGGACAGACGCTGCCCCCT